TAGATGGGGTAGGCGGGTATATATAAGAGGGGGACAACGTGACGCGGTAATGTAATGCGTGTGAGTGGATAGTGAGTAATTGAACTGCAGTCAGAAGTATTATTGACGTTCGTTGATATAGCGTTTGTTTTAGCGCGATTGTTGAAAATAAGTGTATCGTAAAGTTGTATTTCGAAAGAATAAACCAGTTTTATTAAGTAAGGATTTGTGTCGCTAAAGTTTCGTCGGAACGAAGTTAAGAAAAGTTAATTAACGAACGGAGACGTAACAATATTTTTGCATAACTTGCGGCGTTATAGCAATATATCCCGTACGCCGGCAAGCATTAACTCTAATAAGCAAAAAAAGAACAAGCTTGTTTGTTCAAGAAAGCTACACAATGGGCTATCTGTGCTGTGCCCACCACGGGTATCAAAACCCGGTTTCTAGCGTTCTAAGTCCAGATAGCCCATTGAGTAGCTTTATGCTTAATTACAAACAAACAAACAAACGTCTTGTGGTCGTTCCCTACTGTTTATTATGTATTTTTCATTTTCAGTTAGCACTATATAACTTAAACAAAGGGGAATAGTTATTTTACGTTCATCCGTAGGAACTCTTTTTTTTTTTACTTTTCAATTCAGCGATTTTAAATATTAAGTTTCAAACTTCCTTCTAGTAGTAGTACACAACAGTAGCAAAGTCGCTACATGGGTGTATGCTTAATATTACGAAAGATGTTTTCTGATCCATCTTTTGTTGAGGATTAAAAAACAAAACAACAAATAAATACACTTATTAAACGGCGAAGGAACAAGTGTGTTTTTGAAGAACTTGTTTGGTAAGTGGATGGGAATTTTATATTAATATTATTACTGCCTGTGTAAAATTATATCTGGAAGCTTCTAACAGTAACACTGATAATGATGTTGATATTATTATTAATAACAGTAATAATATGTATAATTAAAACTGTTTACTTTTTTATATTTTTAATTATTTAATTGCAGTGCCTATTAATTTATAATATTAGGTTTGCCACAAAATCTTGAGTGATTCGTACGTTAAAGTGGAAATTAAATACATAATAATAATATAGTAATTTTTAGATTAAACTGAAACAGCATACATCATAGGCCTATAACTTACATAGCTGTACTGTTACAATGGACATTGTATACCTCTTGGATTCAGATTGAGTTAATATTATGAAAGGGTTATTTCATATTCAACCCACTAACACTACCCTTCTGCATACAAATCTTGACGTAGTTACGTAGTAATTAATTACACAATACTGTATGAAAACGTGAATAAACGATATTGTTTAATGTTTTGTAGTTTGGTAGAAATAATAATGTTTTACTTTTAGTTTTACTTTAAAATTGTAGAATCAACATTAAATTAATCTTCATTGAGCCAGTTATGTGAAAAGTGTTATAATTTAGATGATATAAGGTGTGCCTTTTCACCTTTCATGCGGAATATATTTAAAAGTTATAGTGTCAGTTCAAAATTTTGATATTTGAAGTATCATATAAATATTTAGTGAAGGCAAGAAGCATACATGTTAATTAATTATACTTGGGTCAGTGGCAAGGAAATTGAAAATAAATTTTTCATTACATTGATATTGGAATTTAGAAGTATTTCCAATGAGGTTTTTCTGTTAGAATTTCTGGTAGCAGTCTACCATGTTACTGGTATTGTTGAGTTTTAGTTAAATAAAGATTATGAAACTTGGAAAGTTTTAAGGCCTTTTGTAGAGATTGTGGTGGTGAAAGAAGGGAAGAGCTAATTTCATTTTGAGTAAGTGTGGTAAAAGCTTAGAAGAGAAATTGTTGAGATTGAAAAATATATGGAGAATGCTTGCATTGAGGCTCCTCAAAGATAAAAAACAGAGATGCATGTTGGAATATTCTACTGTACAAACTTTGTTTGGCCATTACCATTATAATAACAAATTATTTATGTAATAAAAGCAAGCTTAATTTATTGTGTTAGTCTGTTTTGAGGCTGAAGAATTATAAATATGTGTGTGTTATAGTTTGTAAGGTAGCTCAGTAATTATCCTACTAAAGATGGTATTGTTTAACAGTTTTTAGACCTTGATTCCTCATACTGAGGAGAATATGATTAGAGATATGGTTGTACAAAACCGCTTTAACATTGGCAATCATAACGATATTAACTTGCATGTTTATAGAGTTATTAAAACTCATTTTCCTTGATTTTTGGGTATTCAAGTTCCAACAATTATAAGATATTTTAAGTTAAATATTAGGTAGCTAATCTGAAGGGGAAAAAACATAAATAAAGCTTAATATGCTTTGTTTGTTATGTCAGTTTAAGTGTACTAAAAAGGAATGTATGCCTTCCAAAATTTCTTAATTTGTTTACTAAATGGGTGAATAAAGTAATTAAAGTACAAGTAAAACACACAGCTTTAAGAATTTAAAACTATACTGGTAGAATGGAGAATGCTGAGAGTTATAAAAATAAAATGGTAAAAAAAGAAATTTTCTAGCTTAAGAGAGAGATAATGAAAGTGTCTTGTTTCAAAATATCTTGAAGAGCATTAATGTTTACATTAATCACAAATGTTAAACTTATATTAAAGTTTTTCTTCATTACCCATTCAAGCCGTCTCCACCCATGTTATGTATCTATATATTTAAACTATATTTTATCTAGTGAGATAAAATTGGTAAATTTATAATTAAGTAGAAAATTATCTCATATTTTGTTATATTATTTTTAAAACTGTGAGTATTTTAATCTATAATTATAATGTTATTTTGTTATGAATGATATCATAAGCAGCCTCCTCAAAAAAAAAACATGATTGCCTGCATGAGTCAACCTAAACCCTCGTTTCTAGTGGTGTACCTCAGGGGTCAGTTCTTGGTTTTTGTTTTTTTTAATCATATTGATATTGGTAAAGTACAAATGGGACATTAAACTCTTTGAGTATTTCTAGCTGTATTGAGGATGTTAAATACTACAGAATGACAGAATAAGTTAAATATTTTCTTTTTTTTTCTTTTAGGCAGAGATGTGCATGAACAGCCTTGAAGGACAAATGGCCATTTGTAGTCCATGTATCAGTTATTTTATAAAATATTTCATTGACCATATACATTTAATAACCTTTTTTTGTATAGTTTAGAATAATTTCATTCTCTTTTTAAATAGGAACCTAATCCGATGAATTCTCATGCTATATCTGGCTGTTCTTCTGATCAAGTAGTTACACTAACAACTGAGCTACGCAAGGTGCCCATTTGGTTCCGGAATCGCCTGTGTCAGATTTTAGATAGTTCTGACAGCTGGGAAGAGCTAGCAGCTGTCATTTGTCATCCTGATGATTCCAGCAGGTTTTTATTTACACATAATAATATTAGGTATGTTTTTATCTTTTATTATACACCAATTATATAAAAGCAAAAATAAATAATGCTTCCCAAATAATCCAAATCCTTCTGTAAAGCTGTAGCATCCTCCTCATGCCAGCAACACTCCCTTAATCCCATAGAAGTGGGTGGATCAAAGTTTGCATGTCATAACTTTTTTACAGAATTTCATTCAGAATTTCATTAGACAATTTTTGCCAATAAGCTTGGCATCCTCCTCATGCCAGCAACACTCAGTACCTTAATCCCATAGAATTGGGTGGATCAAAGTTTGCATGTCATGACTTTTTTTACACAGTTTCATTCAGAATTTCATTAGACAATTTATGCCAATAAGCTTGGCGTCAAACAGTATTTTAATTCATGGTTTTATATTAACTGTTTTAATTACATAATTTCGAAAGGAAATATTTAGATAAACTCTCAGTTTCACTACTTTGTATCATGTGATGAATCTACCTTCCAAATTATCCATTTTAGGTTTCATTTCTACCTTTTATGATCTGCTGGATTTCTCATAAATTTCACATTTATACTACAGACATTGACAAACTAGAATGTAAATTTCTAGCCTCTAAAACTAAATAGAACTATACACCCTACCTTAAAAGTTCTTAATGGAGGAAGTTGGGAGTAAGAATTATATAAGAACTTTTAAGTTAGGATGTATATTTCTTGTAGTTCTATTCAATATTTTGTAGTTCTATTTAGTATCTTTTTTTGTAAGGGTGGAAGTTGGGAGTTTAATTAGTGCAAATATTAGGGTGGCTTCATTTCATTTCTACTTTAAGAATTTTAAGGGTAACTACCTTCCCACAACTGGCTATAGACAGTGAAAGGCTGTAGAAGCTGAGATGTTGTGGGTGTAAGCACTCAGCTTCGTACCCTTGTTGGATTAATTTTTTTATGATTTTCCATGATGGCTGACTAGATTGATATCGGTGTTGGGATTTTGTCTGATAGATGGGATATCCCCAATGCATTTGGGTGCTATTACCACATACATTTTTATTTATTTTTATATAATTTATTAACGAAAGTAACTAAAATTTGAAAATTAGAAACTTATCGGACTAGATAACAAAACTTAAATAAAAAAAGAAATTTGAAGAGGCAAGCCAGAACTAACTACATTGTGTGATTGTAACTTAATTTTTTGTTTATACTAAGTTACCCTTCTTTGATAATCACTGTGGTTAATTGACTGTCACATTATTAAATAGGATATAAATTTTTATAATCTAATAACATTAAAAGAAATAGATGTGAAATGATTAGAAGGTTGAGGCTGTGTTAGATAACTAATTATAATTGTATTTTACAATCTGCAGTTATTCCAGAACAGTTACAAGTATATTTCATATTTTTTGTAAGATCAAAAGAAGTATTTTTATTCTTATCATGAAAAATCACCTTTCACTTGGATTAACTCATTAAAGACTTCAGAAATTCCTAGCAAAGGGTTTAGTACAAATACTTCACTATAAAAACATTTTATGTGTACAACAGACTTGTAATGTTTACTAAAGTCTTGCCAAATTTTGTGATGACAAATTGGCATGCATAACTTCACAGATACAAGGTCACTGGCAAAATATTTAATAATTAGTCCCTGTGACCATTAGTGGTTTTTACTTGTTCAAATTTGCTTTGATAAACTGATGGGCAGGACTGGTGCAGTAATTAGAGAATATAATATGTTTAACAGTTAGTCTTATATTTGATGATTTTTTTTTTTTTGAGTAATGAAATGTATAAATTTGTGTTTGGGGAACAACAACTTGAGAAGAGTTTAGAATGTAGATGGAGAGCTTGAGTGTGAATATTTATGAGACTTTAAGCCTTCTTAATTTTTCGCTATGTTTGTAAATCTAATTTGGTAAAGGGATTTGTTTTTAGAAATTTTAATTTGAAAGAGTTAAAGTGCTATTGTTTTTTGTTTAGTCACTTTTAGAATATTTTGTTTTCCTTACCATAAAGTGGATATTGGTTTGCTAGAAAGGTTAAAATAGAATAGTTATTTAAATGATTCTGTGTCTAAAAGACAGTCTGTGAAGTGAAACCTAAACATCTGAAGTAATTCTCTTTTTAACATTAAAATAATTAAATGTATTTTATTCAAGTGTTTAAACTAACGAGTATCTAATCTGCCCATTTGATATTATGACTTGGATGTTAAAGGTAATTTCTACAATGACAACTCAAATACTGTATATGCTTGTTTGTATACAAAATTACCATTCAAGTTGTTAATGTGTGGGATTGTGTACTGAAAGAAATGGCTGGTGTTGTACTGCATTTTTTTTCTAAACCCATTTAGTTGGCTTTGTTGACAGGTATGGTTACAGGGTTATTTATATACAAAATCATTCTTCAGTTGTCAACTTGAGGAATTGTTTACTGAAAGGTGGTTTGTGTGGTTATCTAGGTTCCTTTCAAAATTTGCAGGAAATATTAAATTGAATTGTACTAATATTAAATTGTTTATGTAATTTTACAGTGTGGGTAATCTAGATTGTTAGACTTGGCTTCATTATCCAAATCTTTCTTATGTGAATTTTATAGACCACTGCTCTCACCAACAAAGATTGATAAGCATCTGTAATATAATAATGTGGGTTTATATTTACTAGTGTGTTAAAAGCTCAGAAGAATAAACCTGGAGGAAGTCCAGCTCAGGCTCTGTTTACTCATTGGTCAACTACAGGAAAGAACCGACCAACTGTAAATACTCTTCTAGATCTTCTGAAAGAAACAAGGTTATATAGAGCTGCAGATTTTGTTGCTGTTCAGGCCTTGCAAGGTATGTTGTTGCATTACAGCAGGTCAGTATTATGAAAATATTTTAAAATTTCATATGAAAAGTTGTTCTTTAGTAGCCTAATACTTAATGATGTTATGCTGTAATGTGTATCACTGCTATATTCAATAATCTATGTGAGTTATGATGTCTGTCCAAATGAAAATATCTCGATAATCATCTGTAAATAATTCTGGTAAATTAATGCTTTGAGTTAATAAACCAAAATCTTCATTTGACAGCATTACTCATAAAAAAAATAACCATTATTTCAAATTAAACAAGTTCTCACAAGTTACATTGTTTTTACATGACAGTTTGTTTGTGCAATTCATCCAATATATCTATCAACAAATAGAAGAAATACCTCTGGGAAACAACTTCAGTCAACAAGTTGCAGATTTACATTTAACAAGAAACACTATAATATAGTTTTACACATCAGTAACATTTGGAGATAATGTCTCTTACCTAATTATCAAGGTTTTTATAAAGACAGCCAAACAAATTTATCACCCGGAACTCGTATTGGAAAAAGCTTTTCGTTATTAACAAAGTTCATTACCTGTATTTAGATATCAGCCTCATTACTCAAACATACAAGTCCAAAGTTGTCAACAAAGCAGACACTTTTAATTTTGAAGTTATCTTGTTTATATATTCCATAACCTATACTCCATTATTTTTTAATATTACTTTTATTAACGGTATTGTTAAGAATGTTCAACGTATCTATTTTTATTACTGTATTTGTATTAAAAAGGTTGTTTTCATTGTTAGGTTGATATATTGATTTTGTATAACCTAAATCTTCTAAACTGGCTGAACCTTGTGAATTGTTATTAGGTTGACAGCTAAATATATCGCTAACAGTGAGGGTACTGAGCTGATGAAAAAAAGCATTTAATTTTTGCGAGTAAGGACATCGTAACCCATGGATAAGTAATTCTGTCATTAAAAAATTATTTCTGGAAACATTACGCTATACCAACTACAATATTAAAACTTTTTCTATTATACGTTACAGTTATGTTGCTTGCCCTTTCAGCCATATAACAGTCAATCCCTCTTTTCATTGATAAAAGATTATTTCAAGAGTTGGTGATGTTTACTAATTGTCTTCTCTCTCTCTAGTTCATCACTTCTAAACAAGGGTTGGCTAGTGCAGGAAACCCTCAAGTAGTTTTATTATGAAATCCCCCCCCCCCCAGTGGCACAGTGGTATATCTGCGGACTTACAACACTAGAAACTGGGTTTTGATACTCGTGGTGGACAGAGCAAAGATAACCCATTGTGTAGCTTTGTGCTTAATTCCAAACAAACCATGAAAATCGACAAGCAAACAAATGCTGACTATGATTACCTTATGAGAAAACTAAGCATCTTACAAGTTGTTACAGAGATTTATTTAAATATACTTTTCCAAAATACAAGAGCAGGGATGTGGCAGTTAATAATTTTATCAGTCATATGTCTTAGTAGTCATAGTTATTTAAATAATTGGCCAATTATTTTAGAATAAACAAAACTGAAAATATGAACTTTGAACCCTGTTTGACTGAAATATGAAAGGACATTGACAGACCAAGGTGATGTTAATGTTATGACCATGATACATAATATATGATATGTAGTGAAACCTATCTAACATAAGAAACTAATGAAATGATAAATATAACACAAGTTTTCATTTTTAAAAGTAAACTATTTTGTCTTTGCTAATCAATGAACTGCAACTTTAGGCATGTCGGTTTATGGTGTTCTTGTAAGTAAAATTTAATACTAGTTAAAATGTTTATCTCCACAAATAAAATGCAGGTTTTCAACAAGTTTGTAATTATTTTTGAACATTTACGCTGTTACAAACCAATGTATTAATAAAATATTATTCAGTTATTTTTGTTAGGTACTATTCTGCTGGGTGTAAGTGTCTATTATAGTGATTCAAGAATCAGGAGGAATCTATCTCACAGCATACCAGTTTCTTTCTTTTTTCTGATGAAAAAAACTCATATTTATAATACCAAAAAAAAAAAAAAAAAGGTGCTCCTTTTCATCCTATACAGATGTGTAAGGCCAGTGATAGTTTATGGTTGAGGCTTATAATTCTCATATTTTTTTTTAGGTAGAAGTCTAGGATACTTATTTTACTGTCAGTTTTTTGGAAGATGAAAGACTATCTTCTGTACACAGAAAACTGATATTACTTCTGTTGACCATGGACAGTGTGTAAATCTAGGTTAACTGGTTAAGCCTAGATTACTTTTACAGTACGAGTTGTTTCAGTATTTTTCTTCTTTGTTGTTAAGTTGTAGTAATCCAATAGTTTATAAACTGTTGATTACCAAAAATATTCAAAAACTATTTAAAGAGTATTTAACTGTTGGTAAACCAAGTAATGTTATTAAAACATTTCCCAAATATAGACCTAGGCCTTGAACACAAGGCTAGTATTTTGTTCCTGTTTAAACTACTTCTGTTAGAAGCCAGCTTAAGGTTGAACAAAATTTGAAATATCTTTGCCAACTACTTTTGCACGAGTAAATTGCTTTGTGATGCATGGAGTAACTGCAGGTGGGGAAAGTTTCATCATTAATATGTATTCTTACTAAAATATTCTGTAATATTGACCTGCAGGTTCTCCTGTTGAAAAGGACTATTTAGAAACCAGAGAACTTCTAAACATAGTGAGTTCTTCAGAGGATACAGAATATGAACATGGAATAACAAGTACTTCACACGAGGAGGAGAAAACAGTCCTAGTTCAAGGACGCCATGAATCAGGGAATTCCGAGTCACATACTGTGCCTGGAGAAAGCAATGCTGATGAATTTCAGTGCGTGGAGAATAGTGTTGTTAGGTTTTCATACCAAGAACTTTCATCTATGGCTCAAAACTTCAGCGAGACTTCTGTGAGTAGAGGAGGTGCTAAGCTGGGTGAAGGAGGATTTGCTGTTGTGTATCGAGGGACATTAAAGAGTGGACAATCAGTGGCAATTAAACGATTCAAAGGAGCTGTTGATGGTCAGTTTTCGGCTGAACTTAGGGTTCTTGCACTGTAAGTATGTCTTATTTTCAATCAGTCAAAACATGACTCTTATTTGACTTTTTGATAGAATTTATTTAATCTGTTAAACTTCAAGTGTTACTTTGATCTTTTCATAAAAACAATGACTTAAGAATGAACAGTTTATCCTAAACATCACCAATGAATATCAAAAGAAACCTGAATATGAGCTAATTTTTTGGTTGCTTTTGGAAGATTTTAATACTAGTTCATGAAATAATTATTATACTTATATTAGTTATTGTAAAGAAAAACACGTATCAAAAGCTTACAGTTTTCACGTTCATGTGTCAGTGTCCTGCTTGAACAGTGAACATTATGATGTAATGATGCAATATGTACCTCCCATTCACTTGGCAAGAACTGGGACTTAACTTTGGTCACAACTAACTCAGACTATTAACCCTTTCCACACAGATCAAAGGCCATGTCATTGCAATGTTGACTCGCATTCAAAATTTTATTGAACTACTATATTATGAATTTATGTCAATAAGTTTGGTATCAAATTGTAGATTATAATTCAAATTTTAATATTATACATTATTTAATTTTTTTATTTAAAAGTTAATATAAAAAACAACAACACCAAAACATCAATGTTTATGTGTCACATGATATGTTGAATGCGCCATCGGTTTAAATTAAATGTTTGTGATGTAAAAATACATAGTCTTTAGTTTCATACAAATTAAGAACAAACTCAAATTAATGATATTAACAAGCTAGAATATAAAATAAGAACCTCCTATCTTTTCTATTTGCTGAGATATTGCTCATGTATGGATCAAACACAGTGGCCTCACTCACCTCTTTCCATTTTTGTAAATGCTCCTACCCTCATTCTGATCCAGATAGCATTCTATGTACGGTCCATACTTTTTATATTGTCCACACAGCTTCCTTCTGTGGTACCCGTTCCTGGCTCTTATCCCTTTGCAATCTTCCTCTGTTTAGGATCTTTCTCCTTCTACCCTCACCAATTGGGATTGCCTTTTGATTTGATTGGCTTCTTCCTCCCGGAATTTGTTTTAGGTGTCTCCTCATCAGATTCAACACCTCATCTTTTCCCTCACCTCTCATCTTCATTTATCATTGGAGGAATTCCTACAGTTGGGCATGTGGACTACACCTAATATGTTTGTCTCTAATTATTTACACCATATCACAGTTTCTTCTTTTTGGGGTTTTCATCTTCCATCTGTGGCCTTTCTTCAGATTTCAGTGTGATCTTGACTGGGTAAGTTTATATTCATGCTTTTCCCTTCAGGGGCCATTGCTTCTTTTCCTCATTTTATGAATCCTGCTCTGTGGCAAGTGGTACCTGACCAGGTATTCTTTGATTTGAAATCTGCACTGTACAGCCATATTGACTCATACTTTATCTTCCATGGCTTTGCAATGCTCACTGTTGAGATGGAGTGTTCCACAAGATCACTTGTAAGTGAATAACCTTGCGATGTACTTGCTTCATAAACTTGCCCTTTCCAGACAGTACCACCCTTGAACTGCATGTGTAAAGCAGAAGGGGATAGCTACCCATCCTTGTCATGTCTTGTGTTGAATAAATCGGTATGGTCTGCTTTTCAAAATAGAATTTTGTGGTCACCCATTGCACTGTCTCAGGTGATGACGTTCCTCTGGACTCTCCACCACATCCTCACCCCCTTTCTTCTAGCGGAGTATGGGAGTCCTCACCACTTTCCAGTTCCAAGCTGCTGGGGTGGTTGACCATGGAGGCACCCTTTTGAATTGGTTCTACACAAAGTTGGCTATAACCATTCAGAACAGATATGGGAGGAGATGTTCTGTAGGTGTAGATGATGTGATATCCTCCAATATGCAATGTACTTTCACAAAGTAGTGAAATATCAAAGTGAAGTTTACCCCTTCCATTGGGAGTCCTCATCCTACCCTCGCATGGATGATGGTACCCTCTGGCTGGGTTTTGGATTTAGAGTAGAACCAATCAACATAAGTTCTCACACATGTTTAGAGTGTCTATCTTCCTCCCCAGTCATACTTCTTCTGTGTTGTGGGTCACAGTGCAGAGAAGGGGGATTGTTCTGGTTCTGTCCTTTTTGCTATCCCTCTTTGTATTTTAATCCGAGGATGTTATTGGTTTTTTGGATGGTTCAGGTCAGTTTCACTGTTGGGGGAGTTGATTTATATTATATATACATCTTTTCGATACCAGATGTCTGGTACCCAGATCGATTAAAGCTAATACATGTTTCATGCTCAGGAGTTGGAGTGGTTACAGATTCCATCATTTCTCTTGAACTTGAGGTAAAGATGGTATGATTCTCATCCTACTCTCATGTGGATGTCAGTTCCCAGCAGCATGGGTTTTGGATGTAGTTGACTTACCGAGTACGATCTGTTGTGCCCTAGCCGCTCTACACCTAGATGCACATCTATTGTTTTACCCACTTTTATACTAGGTGGGATTGAGTTACATATATATTTCAGGGTTAGAATCACTATCCTGTCAAAGTTCTCTCACACTTGGATGTGCTTCTCTCTTTTTCCACCCTTATCTACTACACATTTTACGGATGGGCAAAGAGTATACCTGGTTCAGAAGTGGTGCAGTTCTCCTTATCAGATCTTCATATCTGACTCTCTCACTTCCAGAGGTACCCTTTGAATGCTATCAGGGGGTACTTCTGTCATTCCCTCGCACTGGTCTCACCTCCTAATCAGTGTGGCTAATCTTGTGAGGAGAGGGAAGTCCCATAACAGAAGATATAATTTTCCTATACTAAAAATGTATTTCCAATAGGTACTTCCCACCCTTCCTCCATACTTTCCTCCAGTACTTACGTCTTCTGCCAAACCTTGAAGTGATAGTTCGGTAGAGGCGTATAGAAGGAGTCACATGTGTCACGTGAGTATGTCATGCTCCTATTGGTGGTGAAATGATGCATCATGATTTACATTAGAGACATGTTGGAATAATTCGATTCCAATAGGGAGGGAGCAGAAGGCTTGTGATATGTGTGTGAAGAAAGAATCTGCATATAGAGAGCAGCACTGGATGAGAATAGCTAATTA